GCCTTATGAATATCTGGTGGGTAAAAGTTTACTGTCTCAAGGCATTTCCATCAAATCAAAAATACATTATATTAAGAGGAGATAACTCACAATGAAACATCAAAATAATTTCTTTCAAAATTAAGTACTGTGTCCCTAATAAAAAAAATTAGTGATGGGAATAAGATAAAATGAAAAAAATCAACTCTATAAATAGATCTGGGATGTATTAACATTATCACATGGACAGCATGATAATAAAAGTCAGTTATAACAAGAAATAAATTATTAACAAATGAATTTTGATTAACACTGAATATCTCACATGTAAAACGAAAAACCAAAATGCTTATTCATTGTGCATTTTGGCTGTGATTTTTCCAAATACAGAAACTGCCTAACAGAATACCCTGAGGCCAATACATTACATCTAGGTCTAACAAAATTCAGGTGAAAGTATTATCACAAAGGAACCAAAACATATAATTGTTAATAATTGGAATAAACAGAATATAAGTGGGCATATGGCTAAGTATGTATGTATTTCTAAATAGATCTATTGATGTAACCACTAAATAAATTGTTAATTTGTAACAGCTGAACACTTTAAAATTCAGTATTGATGGTTCAAATTTTCATGGTTTCACCAAAAGCATGATGCAACAAGGATACTTTATAGCATTCATGAGAAATGGACCTCTCTTTTATGTATTTATTTCATTTCTCGTGGTGCATTTTATTTATTGATTTTTTTTTTTAATTCCATCTGTGGAAAAATACAACCCCTAGAAAATAACACGCTTTTCAAAAGGCTTACTTTTTAAAAAAAAACTTCTACTATAGGTCTTTGAAGTAAAAGGTGTTATTCATTTGTGTCTTTTCTACAATCCTTTGAAGTAACAGATGGTAGACATTGCTGGTGAGTGTTTAGTTCACTATAGCCATAACATGTATACCACGTTTTGATTCTTTCCAATTATAGCAAGGTACATAATATACACATTTACTTGAAATTCTTCTCTAATTATCAGATATATGAAAATTATTTATAGAATTATTGAGCTAGTGTTCATTCACGTCTAAACTCTGACATTACTTTCGATCACTTTGGGTTTTCCTCAGTAGCCTCCTAGGCTTCTGAATATAAACCTTTAGCATCATTGATGAGTCCTAGATAAAGAGCTTGGCTGAACTGTATCTGATTTTATTTGTATCAAAGGGTACTATTCACTTGCCTCTTTTATACATTCTTCCATGAAGTGAAAATTGAGGACAGTAAGTGACATGTTTCCAGCTTTCTGAGTATATATTACTATTTTTTAAAACTCAAAATACATAACAGCATTATGACATTTTGATTTCATCACTGACTTCTCAAAAATATTGGAATGTTCAGGGCTTTTTTCACTCATTTTGGAAAGGGCTATTTTATTTCATTTGCAGAAGAAAATTGCTGAAATGAAAAAGAAATTTTAAGATGTAAACTATATAGAAAACTATAGATTTTGTGAATTTGGTAATACAATAAAATAAATCCAAATGGGAATGGCGCCTATATTCAGCCATATACAGGCCCCTGAAAAAGCCCTACCTAATTCTATTGTTTGGAATGGTCTGAAGTCTGAATGTCAAATGTGTGTTGGATATAACTATAAAGATAATTTAATAAGTATCATTAGTTTCATTAAAACAAATTAGTAAACAACAATTAACATAAAAATCAACAACATGTAAATAATTTTCATCACTCTATATAATGCAATTTTATATCTACTGAGTGGCAGGAATTTATTCTAAATACGCTTTAGTCATTCTGCTGCGTAAATTTCAACCACATGTATGAGTTTGAATATGAACCTTGCATGTACAGTTTTCCTACTGAAGTCACGAAATGGAAATAACAAGTTTACAGTACCGTATATCAATGAAAATAAAATACCTTGAACACAAACATGACCATTAAGATTTACAGCTGTCTTTAATCATATTTATATATACATGTTTAAATATGACGTAGCATCTTTATATTACAGCTGCAAGTTAATTGACTAGATATAAAAAATCTGGCAAAATAAATAAATAGATAAACAATAAAAAAACAGAAAATTAATTGACAAGCAAATATATAAGAAAATTATTAAATCAGAAATTAATTGACAAGTTGAAAATATTTAAAATATTTGAATTCAAATTTTGAACAATCAATAAAAAAAAAATTAATTGACAATATAAATGAAAAATAAGAAATCAGAAATTCATTGACTAGTTGAAAATATTTAAGAATCTAAATATCGGGAGTTCATTGATTAGAAAAAACTGTTAAAAAAAATAAAATCTTAAATATATATATTTCTGTATGTAAATCCTTGATGAAAACAATACTCAATGCTAGGTAACCTGTAGCCGAACAATCACAGACAACATTTTTAATCACAAAACAATATCATAATACATACAAGTAATCACATTGTGATGGAATATTTCCAACAGCAGTGGTACAAATTTTTTCTGCTTATCCTATTTATATCTGTGAAACCCCTAATAAGCCCAGGGTTTGTACACATTACATGGGCTTTAAAAAGACAATGAAATACTGTAAAAAACAAATAGTTTTGACAGATTTGCTTTAACAACGTTTGTAAATTAGAACAATCTCAAAAAAAATGACATGCCCCAAACAAAATAAATATCCCAATAAAATAATCGAAGATGACCATATTAATACAAAAATATTGTTATAAAATAGTGCAGAAAAGGAAAATTGTGGAAATTTTATTATTTGTCATTATGTTTTAACAGCAATAGTTATGGGTGGGCTTATTACCATGCATGGTCTTATTGAAAGATAGAATTACGGAAAAATACATTGTGTGAAAAATAGGGTATGAATATTTTTGATTAGGTGAATGAAAAATACACATGACTAAACTTGTGAATGGTTGGTCTATTGTAACACTACTTACTGAGGATATTTAACTCATTCACACAAAATTACTGAATTCTTACTTCCCTGTCTCAACTGTACTTCTGTATTTTTATGAAACCAGATCAGAAGTCATTTCTTCAAAAGAATCCAAAATGTGTTGAAAATTAATGTTTAAAGTATATCAAAATTTTTCTTAAAAAGAAATTATTTGACCTATACAATCAACAGGATGTCAAATTTCAATGTCATATTCATAAAACAAGGTCAAATTGGCATGTAGTGTAAACTACAATATTCCCCTATTATTTTAATTCTTTCACAATATGTAAATCTTTTGCTCAAAGAACAATTCAAAATGTGTTGAAAATTAAGTTTTATGGTGAACCAAAATCTTTTTTGAAAAAGAAATTATCTTACACAATTAATAAGAAGTCAAATTCCAGCATCACACTTCATAAAACATTAGGTCAAACTGGCCTGTAGCATAAACTACAAAATAACTCATTATTTTGAAGGAATTTTTTCAAAATAATATCATGACTTTGACCCACTTTTTTTCTATTGAAGATGTTTTGAAAGTTGATGTGAGACAGATGACTAGTTAACACTTGTTGCAGCTCAAATACAATTAGGGTCAGTGATTTAAAACCTAGTTATACTGTCCTTTTGTCCAGCATTGCTGGCATAACATTAATGGGTTTGGCACTATATTCTGGGAAATGTAATTATTTTATTTCTAAAGGAACAAAATAAAAATTTGTGAAGTTTATCAGCATTAAATGAGGTAGCATTAAAAATCAGAATTCTGATATCATGTAATACAGCTTGCTAGTATTTGTCTTGTGTATCAAATACAGGTAACAATGAACAGTCCTTTTCAAATCTCGCATAAATTTTTATTCATAAGAATGGCTAAAACCCCTCAAGAATTAAGTATCTATATTAATGTTTAAAATAAATTCAAACAACATCTGATAACTTTAAGCAAATATTCTTTCATTTTTCGAATAAAATTTTCTTTGATTTCTAAATATTTGCTTCCCTGTAGCAGCAACAAAGTTTAAAACTACTATACATAAGTCTCTCAGTGTCTTTCCTGCTCTGTTCATGATGAAGTGCCACCAATATCTAGTTGTCAACTAATATCTTGTTATTCCTTCAATTATCAAAGATGACAGGGCATTTTAAGAGACATTCTACTCTGTTCATGACGAAGTGCCACCAATATCTAGTTGTTAACTAATATCCGATTATTCCTTCAAATATCAAGGATGACGGCATTTTAAATGGGCATCATGGAAACAGATCATAGTTATTACATCTGGTGATTCCATCAGTTTCCGAGATTGATGTAATTTATGATATGGCCAATATCGGGTTGACCTGACAGTAGAAGGTAAGTCGGCGACACTGCTCAGGTCATAAGGAAAAATTTAATTGTATTTAACCAGGAATAAGACCACCTTTATACAATTAGTCTGTATTGGTCCCTGGGCTTATTTCAGGATAAATATTTCTTTTGATGCATTTGTTTGGCATGAAGAAAATTTGATGTTTATATTCGGTGATTTAAAGAACAAGAGTTGTGGGATTGAATATGTTTGTGAACTGCAGATTTCACTCGTGTGAAAATGATTTAATAATGACAAGCCCATTCATCACAACTTAAATAAATATATATATAGGTATTAAGACCAACATTTTTATCTTTATGCTTTTGTTGAGACAGGAAGACAGTAGTGTTGTTTTGCAGCTAATAAAAAAATTATGCATTCTTAAAAATTGAAAAAAGTAACCATCACCTCCCCCTTCTCCACTTCCCCTTAAAATAAAAAGTAATGGGTTTTGTAGTAATTATAAATTAGAATTTCAAGAAGAGACCAATACCAGGAAGGTCACTCAGAAGGTCAAAGATCATTGATGTCAAAAATCTGACAGTACCTGAATTTACCAAACAATGATAATTTCTTTCAGTATTTCAGAATAGGAAATTTACTGTTGGTCATCTTCTGTTGGAACTTAAGAGTGGTCAGGTCAAAGTTCAAAGTTCAGAGGTCATCTCTTGCTTTATCCAGTTCAACGGATAGGTTAAAGCTCAGAGGTCATCCCTTTCTATATCCTGTTGAGACAAGTAGCCAGTCGGAACGTCAGCCCATCGTTGACGCTCCCCTGAGGCCAGCAGACCAAACAAGATACCACCTACCAGGTATATACCAGCTGCCAGGTAAAACACAATTTGCCACAGACCAGTATCTCCCTGCCAATGAAAAATAACATTGGACATGATCTTTGTTGATAATCCAGAGTTTCTCTGTCAATTAATACATTAATATTCTACAACTTTTCATTTCCTTATCGACTTATGATACAGAACTCTTCAACTTCATCTTATGACATTGAAGGAAGTATAAATAAAAAGCAAATCCAACATACACTTCATTAATTTTTTACCTTTTAATAAACTTTATTTATTTTACTACAATTGCAAAGTTTTCCCAACTTATATTAATCACTCTTGTTGGCTCAGATGGAAGCGCATGAGGGGTCTTAGTGTGGGAGGAAACCGGAGTACCCGGAGAAAACCCACGTGGTCGGGCAGGTGACCCCATACCTTTCCACATCCATTCTGGAAATCAAACCCCGGACGGCTAGGTGAAAGGTAAGTGCCTTACCAATGCACCATCCGACCACCCATTTTTTTACCTTACAACATGGTGGATACTGACCTTGTCCTCAACGATGACACTAGTCAACAGTGGACTCACAATACCAGGAATAGTAGCAAACGTATTGGAAATACCCATCAGGATACTGGCATACTGAAAGATAGCATTCAAAAGCAAATATACTATTTACATTAACATAAAGCATATCTTTGCCTTAAGAAGCCAATGTTTGGTAATAAGCCCATTCATGTCTATAACTATTAAAGGGACTAAATGGTTAGATTTCAATATTTTTTCCCATGCATTTGATTTCGCTCCAGCTTTATAATACTTCTATTCATACTCTTCACAAAATTATCACACTCTCTAAGAGAAATTGATAAAGATTATCAAGATGATAAAGAGTTCTAAAAGTGACTTTTTGTAGCCTCGTTTTAAGCCGCCATTTTGATACAATTTCTTACTATGTAAAATTATGTAATTAGCCAAAACTTGTCATGTTTCAATTCTTCCTTTGTAGAATGACCGCTTGTTTCACGCTATATGCGTGACAGAGCAAAGTAATAAATCTGAATTAATTTGAATCTATAATATCATGTGCAAAGACATTGTTTACACTCTCTGAATGATACCGTAATAGGAATCAGTGTTGGGTCGCTCCTATTTTCATGTTGATAATGAAATGGTGATGCAAACTTGAAAATATTACAATAAGCAGAAATTACACAATTTAAAAAAAAAAATAATGTTATAATGCTTTTATCAGTTATGAATTGAATATCTAACCATTTAGTGCCTTTAAGTAAAAACGTAATACTATCTTCAGTGCCTTGTAATAAACTCATCCCTACTTTGAGTCAAAGTTCATGAGTGCCTTCACCCCCTTTCATCCATCCATCAACCAGCAGGCTTATTACAAGATATATACGTAAAAAGAAAATCAGGATGTTAGCTTAATACAAGACAATAATAACCTTTACTCATAAAAGCATTATAATATGGTTGGTGTGCTCATTACCAAGCTTAGAGCTGGTAAAATGGTCAGGCAGAAACAGAGCAGTACCCCCAGGAAACATTTACAGTCAGCTATCAGTAACTGTATTATGAAATGTACTATATATTTGAGATTTTGTCTAGCATTACTAGCAATTAACCACTTGTCAATGAAGGACATTTGTTATGTTACATTATTGAATATGTTGCAGACATGCTTGTACGAAAGGAAATTTTCGTAATATTGTACAAAAGCTTACATAGCAGTCCTGGTGTGAGAACATTTTACCTGTATTTATCTGTGATGTGGTCACCAGACCTGTGAAAAGTCACCTTTAATTGTATCATATTTGTGGTGTTATAGTCCTGGTGTGAGAACATTTTACCTGTATTTATCTGTGAAGTGGTCACCAGACCTGTGAAAAGTCACCTTTAATTGTATTATACCTGTGGTGCTATATCCAGATGGTTAACACTAAATCCTGCCCATGCGAATCCTCCAAGCCCCACGGCTAAAATAAGACAAGTGATTGCTCCTGTTGAGGAAGTGGAATAGCCAGCACTGACCATGAAAACAACCTGGAATCCAAACGCTGAAACACAAATATTAAATTATCATGATATTAGTAACAACAAGGGCCATCAGAGACGGGTTGTGGTACCAGAATTGGGATTTAAGTATAAAAATGAACAAAGGGTGCTAAGAGAGTTATGATTCTTGTGCACTGCCCTCCTTCTTGTTGAGATTTATCTACCTAGGAAGTTTCATGTTGATACCTCATGTAGTTTTAATGAAATGCTCTGGACAAAATTTAAGCATGAAAAATAATGAAGGGCAATAACTCTTAAATTATACAAAAGAAAGTACTGCTTTTTGCACTGCGCTTCATCTTGTTTAGATCTATCTACCTATAAAGTTTCATATTGATAACTCATATAGTTTTTGTGTTATGCACCAGACAAAATTATGACGGACAGACAGTACAGCCACTATATGCACTCCTTTCGCAGTGCATAACAAACTACCTGACCTCAAAGAACACATTAATAATTCCCAAACTTTTATTTTCTGTTTTGATGGTCTTATTTTTATTTGTTTCCCTTCAAAAATATTTAAAATTTTGAAAATCTAATTGTTTCCTATCAAATATCATAAATATTTTAAAAGTAGGATAGAATATATCTGTATTTTCATGTGCATTTTGCACTGCTGAAACATATAGATATTCTGTCATACTCTTGAATAAAAATAATATGTTATCCCTAGGAAACCGTTGAATATCCTCTATATATACAAGAGATCCCAGAGGGATCTTGGCACCCACCATTTGAGGATCTGTTTTCAGTTCTTGAAGATTTGTTTATTTTTGTTTGTTTGTTACAGGTGTTGTAAATGTTCATGAACTGGTGGTCTTCATTGAATGTACTCAATGATGGCACAAGATATTTTTATTAAGCACCTATTAGCAAATATCATTTGAAAAAGATCCCAAAGTATTATTAGATAGCAGCCAGTTATAGGTGGATAATGGACAATATGCTTGTGCTGTATTCCATCCAAGATGGCTGCCTGTGGGCCACCTTGATTTCAAATCAGTCCAAAAAAGGTACAATGCACAACTAGGGACCAAGGGAAACCAATATCTATGAAATATCCGAAGAATCCATCCAGTACTTCCTCAGATATAGCAGTAACAAGATTTTACTCTCAAAATCCAAGATGGCTGCCTGTCAGTCATCTTGATTTACCAAAAAGGTATAATGCACAACTAGGAAATAAAGGGAACCTGCATATGAAATTTGAGAAAGATCCATCCAGTACTTTCCAAGAAATAGCGGTAACAAACTTTTACTTCCAAAATCCAAGATGGCCACCTGTAGGCCATTATTTCCAAAAAAGGTACAATGCACAACTAGGGACCAGGGGAAACTGCACATGAAATTTGAGAAAGATCCATCCAGTACTTTTCCAGAAATAGCGGTAACAAGAATTGTTTGTGACAGACGGACGGATGGACCACGGACGCAGGGCGATTTGAATACCCCACCATCTGATGATGGTGGGCTAAAAATACAGAGCTTCTGCCCAAATTGATCCTCATCAAAACTGAATATTTTTCTTGATACTGAGCCAATTTGATATTGATTAATCAGGACAGAGTATCACAGATCTGAAATGAAATTTGTCTCCAAACATGTTCAAGATTTAACTCATAAGGTGTAAACTATCATATCTGGTGTACCTCCAAAGATTCAAAGTAATTCCTTTACCTCCATAAGTGAAGAGTTTCAAATTCATTTCCAAATGTGTAAATATTACTTTTCAAAGATTTAGAGTTATTTATTTCCAGATGTGAAATGTTCCATATTTAACTAAGAATTTGTCAAGTATCTACTTCTGATAATTTTGGTGTTACTTCTTTATCTCCAGTTGTGAAGAGTTCCGGATCTGATTCCAAAGAGTATAAAATAGCTGCATCTAACAATTTGATGTTACTTATCTATCTCCAGGTGTAAAGAGTTCCAGATCTGATTCCAATGAGTATAAAATAGCTACATCTAACAATTTGGTGTTACTTATTTACCTCCAGATGTGAAGAGTTTCCTGACCAATCCAGTGTTAAGCTGGAAACGTGCACGTAAATGGTCAGCTAGGAATCCAGCTCCTATAACCACACTCCCCATGACAAGGTAGGGCAGAGCAGACAGGAACCCAGCCTGATGTATTTCACATAAAATTAGTATTATAATTATTACAGTAATGACAAATAAAGTAAGTGGTTGCATGTTTGTAATATTTCCCATTTTCCAAAACTACTGAAAACAAAATTTTGAACACAAATTATTTTGTTTAATCATCTGAGGATCCTTTGTACCAAATTTATTCCAAAATAAGCTTGAGGGCAAGGAGGAAATTCTTGTTGTTGGGAGAGCTTTCAGTGGGACAATGAAAAAAAAAATTTTGTAATTCTATTCCCATGTTAAATGCAAGAAAGAAATTATGGCTTAAAGAAAGAGGGTGTGTTTATAGTACAAATATAATTTGTTGATAATTCTACTAACACTTTAATTGATGAGTGGGCTTATTACCAGACATGGGCGTGTTGCTTGATACATTACTGCACCTAAATCTTTATACTTACTTTTTGGATATCAAAATCCAGTGCAAATTTCATGAAGGATGGCAGTTCTGTTAACCAGGTGTAAAATCCCCAGTTCTCTGCAAAGTGAGCGACCACAATCGCCCATACAGCTGGGGAGGAGATGATCTGGATCCAGGGTGGTCGCATGTTCTGTCACAAATAAAATCAATAATTTATAAACAACTCAGTTGGTAAAAGGAAATAATCTACACTTCAAAGATATTTTCCAACTATTGTGATTAGTTCATTTCTTGCCTAATGAAGATCGTTAATTAATGTTAACTCATAAAGACATTCACAGGGTAAGACCAACAAATGTTGAATGTTTTGTTCTTTGTTTGCAAGGGTTATTGTCTGTGAACAGCCAGGGTCATTTTGACACTGGATTTCTTGAAAGTAGCTGAGGGCTACCTCACTGAACATCATGCAGGAGTCCCATCAAATATCATCAAAAGCAGTGTGGTCTCAGGACACATCAGTGCACAGTACGATCTGTTATTTCAGATTCCCGAGTAACAAACCACTCCAGTAGGGATTTTACTGTACACATTGGATCTTCACAGAGCTTGTAAAGTCTGATGATCTGCCAAATGAACTATTTTGACTCATTTTTATTTCCTTGTGAACATGTTCAGCTGCAGACTATCCAATCTTACACACATCACTTACGTGGGACTGCTCCTCTGTGTAGCCTATTTTAGCCTGGATGTATTCCAGTTCAGAGTTGGAAATAGATGTGTGTTTGGCAGGACTCTCCACCACAATGTAACACCACAGCAGAAACCATATAACAGCTAGAGTACCTGTAATTATGGACACAATCAGTAAATAATGACATCAGAGGTTAATGTTTGACATCAACTAATCTGAAATCCATGAATTACATAACTTATGACTTTTTTCTCTTAGCAACAGTTTAACTTCAATATTGAATGTGTAGTAAAGAGCTCTTACCAAAGACATAGAAAATGGAAGGCCAACCGGCAGCACTTTGAGCCAAGGCACCAGATATTGGCATTGATATAACTGTCCCAAAGTAAGATCCTGAAACATGAGAACAAAGAAAAACAAATTGAGTAGAGGTTCACTTAACTACACCCTTAAACCACTGATCAGAACAAGTAAGATCTTTAACTCTTAAACCTTGAACAATGACAAAAATTAATGAAATGTTAGACTTGGTGTTACAATACAATGGTATGAATAAAAGCTCTATGAGATATGTACACAAGCATTTGGCTATGGACTGACAGACAGACAGACAGACAGACATGCACAGATGGACCTAAAGACAGTCAGTAAAGAAAGGAACAAGTTAAGTATCCTGTCAGCAGACGGGTCAGAATCAGATGTCAACACACAAGTCTGGAAGAGTTATGTCCCCTTTGTCACTGGAACCAATGTTATCTGCGGTACATAGTTAGTAAAAATCTGACTCACTGCATGGCTGTAATTCATTCATTTATTGTATGTAAAGTAGAATATCAGAAAACAAGGCAAAGGTATTACACAACAATCCACAGTCTCACACTGATGCATTGTATGTGTCAAGAAAACATTTTCGAAAAAAAAAATCTACCACATTGTAGAATTTTTGCAATCAACATCCAAGGTCAAAGATCAACATAAAAGTGCAGGACACCTTCATCCCAAGGTTCATCCCAGATAAAACATAGGTAGATATGATAGCATTACATCAAATGACAACAAGCTAAATCAAGCTATTACTGTGATCAACATTAAAGGTCAAATTGAAGGACACAGTGACCTCATTTTCAACAAACACCGACATCACCCTCACATTCATCCACTGTATGACATAAGTATCAGTAAATGGTTTAGTTTTGATAAATATGTCCAACAACAAGGTCATGAAAGGATGGATTGAGAGGATGCAAGCATATAGGCCTCCAAAGATTCCTAAATGAAGACTATAAATTACTTACCTGCAAATGCAAAGGTAGCGAGCTTGGTTTTTTCCATAGGGGGTGCCCAGTTGGCCCAGATTGCATGGATAGAAGGATAGGTAACACCCTGGCAAAATATATAGAAACCACATTTTTAAGCAATGGTACTTTTGTATTGCTACAGATATGGTATGTTTTATTACTTGTCATAGCTGATGTATTTAAATGTGAAGTGTGGAGTGAATGTGCAGAGCATAAACAATTGTTTTGAGCATTATTTTTTTTGTTGTTGTTTTCATTGCCTTTGAAAAATTCTGAAAATAACATGCTACAAATTCTAAGACTTCAAACAAGTGATCCCAGAGGGATTGTGGTGCCCTACATTGTTTGGTCTCTATTCATTCTGTAAAAGTTTCATTTCCGATCTTTTCAATTCTTTTTTCTGTATCGTTCTTAATTATATTCGATTTTAAAATTCCATTTAAGAAAAAGCAAAAAAATCTTTGTTATATCCAAGATACTTGCAAATTTATATTTTTTCAAACTTGCCTTCTAGATTTCCCTAACAGAGGCCCTTATTATCTCTGGTGAGTCCATGAAGGACAAAACAGTTCTATGATAATGTTTATGTCATTGTTTGGATTGTTTGGCTCTAACGTTTCTAATTCTAATTTCTTATTAAAAGGAGTTGGTCACTTGTGTGTGCTTTGTACAGTCTTGCCAACGTCTCACTGGAGAGAAAAATGTGTGACCAACATTTCTGACACAACATAATACCTCATACATTCCGACATTTCACAATGTAAAGAGAACATTAATTAATGTATATGTAATTAATATTCTTAGATAAGTTGAAGTATTATTATCATTATAATGACATTCTTAACGGCCCGTCAACACATAAAAGGTCATTAGGGCCATCAACCTGTAAGACACAGAGATCCAAAAAGGAAATGACATTCAAACAACCAAAAGGTAAAAGACAAATGCTAAAAATCTTAAATGGGTATGTTAACACAAAAGATTAAATTGGTACATCATAGTGTATTATATAGACCAACATCTTTCAGCCAAAGGGAATATTAGACATGTAATATTACGATAAAAACATTATCCAGTAGACCGAAGATCAATGCAGTCCAATAAAAAATGTTTAACGGTGAATGGCTCATCACATCCTATGCACAAAGGATTATCTTTGCCTTTCAACATAATTGAATGTGTAAGGTATGTATGACCCATCCGAAGGACAACTTCGTCTCGCATGTGTCTCTATAGCTTGGAGACCATTCACCGATAACAGGTTTAACGGAGTGCAATTTGTTTTTTGGTATAGGTATTCCAATCCTCCTGCCACTGAACTTTTAAAAATTGTTTGATAAATGGTTTAAAATCAGTTATCGCTTCCTTTGCAGCACGATCTGCTGAGTCGAAGTAAGTAATGTACATGCACAACTATAATGTAACAATTATTAAAGTTAATAATCAGGGTCAACTATGGATTTACAAATAATGAGATTCTCTATGCCATAAGATTTATTTAAAACTTTCATTGATGAACTCACTCGATGACAGATAATAACATTAACGATTATCTGGATATTGATGATATGTATCTCTAAATATGATGCTTCAGGAAGAATTTGTTAAATTGAAATGAAAAAAAAAAAATTGATGATATGTTATAAAAATTTCAAGCTACTGACGATATTTTTGTGGGAAAACACGTAAAAAATAAAGATAAATGAAATAATTTTTTCATTAAATTAAAAATATCTTAATCCAGAACATATGGTCCATGATATTTGAAATTCTGTTTTCACTTTGAGATTGATGTTTATGAAATAACTGTAGACAGACAGAAATAGAAAATTTAGTCGAGATTCGTTTCTATTTTGCATATCGTAGTCACTTCCTGTTCGCCCATTTAGTTTTTAAAAAAAATAACCCACATTTCTGAATTTCATCAAATTTCCTGTAACTGAAATGCATATTTAATCCACGTTTTCACTTCAGGATGCGGAGTAGTTTGAAAGATTAATATGATCAAATTAATGACAGTTAAGTCTTTGCGAAGCATTTTCCCATCAACAACTGTTGGGGTTTTGTTGCTACTAAACTTTGTATCATTAGCTGGTACAATCAGGAACTTGGTCCTTTCCAGTTGTTCGTTAATCACTACTTCAAAGGTCTTTTGACAGTTTTTCAGCTTGTTTCCTCGAGTTTCTCTTTGATACATGCTAGTATAATATAAACTTTATTTATTTCACAACAATTGTGAAACAAGTAATGTCAACTTATACTAATCACTCTTGTTGGCCCAGATGTAAGCGTGTGAGGGGTCTTATTGTGGGAGGAAACCGGAGTACCCGGGGAAAACCCACGTGGTCAGGCAGGTGACCCCTTACCTTTTCACGTCCGTTCCGGGATTCAAACCCTGGTCAGCTAGGTGAAAGGTGAGTGCGTTACCACTGTGCCACCTGACCACCCACATACATGCTAGTTCTTTTGTATATCTGGGATGTGTATTCTTCCTATGTCTAACAGAGTTATCCTCCCCTTGGTAAATAACAAACTGATGGATCAGGTCTCATCACCTTCTGTGATAGACCACTACATTTTCAATATTTAATTCTTTAAATCTCCCTGCTTTGTGTATCAAGACACAGGAGCCCAGGAATCCACTATTCAATCCTAGCCAGTATTTGCCCTGTCTTTTCTTTTACTATGGTAATAACTACTTAACAGTCTAAATAATGACCTAATCTTACTTGGCTATTTGCCGGTTGCAACTCCCCGAGTCCTTACCAATGGCCTAATGATATTTGTCTATTAATTAGTGAACACCAGGCAGTACACAGGTGCGCTCCCAAGTGTGGGTGTTACAGAGAATTATGCAACCCTGATACATAATTTCGCAATATACTCATCTAGCTTGATTATGTGCTCAAGCGGTCAATTTTATCTGTTACTGTTCCGATTTGACAAACATAGCAAGGTTAGTTGCAACCTACCTACTGGAATCTCTGACATCAGAAGATAATGCCATTATTTTATGGGAAGCAGGGCCAGGAAGGGAAAATTAGGACACAAACCTGAATCGGGAAGGTTGGCAAGTATGTAACCCTTTGTGCATATTAATGTATCTATTGCAAAATGTTTCTTTTTATCAGATCTGAACTTATTTTGATTTAATAAAAGAAAAATTTTCATCACATATTGAAAATTTGCATAAGTTAAAAGATACAAATGTGTCTCTGCAGTGATAACAAACAAGAAATTCATGTGTAAACGACAAATTACCTCAAAAAGCCCCTCAATTACTCTGATGGTAATGAGGAGGTAGAGATTCCAGCGAGCACAAACAGGGGTTAGCAAGGTCAAAATGCCTGTCACCAGGATACCACCCCCAAACAAATGTTTTCCTCCGATGATATTAGCTAAAAAACCTGCAAATTCAACAAAATTACTAAATATTAATACATACATTATATATATATATATATACCATGTACAAATTATTGAAAATCATGATAATAAAAATCAAGAGGCCCAAGGCGCCTTAACGGTCACCTGAGGAATATATGTCAATAATCTGGGGATTTTAAAATGTTGCAAAAATGTAACAACACTTGTGCAGGATCATGTATAAAACATCTGTACCAAGTTTGAACATGATCCACCCAATGGTTCTTGAGAGGAAGTCCATAATGTCTTAGCCAAACAGAGGCCAGGGTGGCCATCTTGGATTTTGAATCACCCCAAAAAGTTAAAACACTTGCCAGGACCTTGTGTAGAACATTCGTATCAAGTTTCCATTTTCCCCCCTCCTGGGGCCCCTATTGGGGCCACGCCCTTTTTCTTCCCAAACTTGAAGCGGCTTCCCATGGGGATGCTTTGTGCCAAGTTTGGTCAAAATCCATCTACTGATTCTTGAGAAGTAGTCATTTAATGAAGGTTTTTACATATGGCCCCTTTTAAACCCCTTATGGGACCCAAAGGGGACATAATCACTTTTTTCAACATAATTTCATATGTCCTTCACTAAGGGATGCTTTCTACCATATTTGGTTGAAATCGGTCAAAGTTGAATTTTTGATCCTATTGAGTGCCCCCTAGTGGGGCCGTTTTTTACCCATTTTTTTTTTATTTGCAAACTTTGTAGACCATGCCATAAGGACCCTAAACATCAAATATGAACTTAATCTGACTCTTGGTTCATGAGAAGAAGATATTTAAAGATTTACCTAATTTTACACCCTTTTTCCCCCTCCTGGGGGCCCTATTGGGGCCATGCCCTTTTCCTTCTTAAACTTGAAGAGGCTTCCCATGGGGATGCTTTGTGCCAAGTTTGGTCAAAATCTATTCAGTGGTTCTTGAGAAGAAGTCGAATAGGTGAAAAGTTAACGACGCACGACGAGCCTTCGCCCCAGGCGACCTAATTAATAGCAAAACCAACATAACTCCAAGTACTTGTCAAATTTCAATTCATTATCCTCATCTATCAAGCAAATTAACAAAAATTAAGAGGATTTTGAAATCCAAGGGCAGTAACTCTAAATTACAAGTTCACAGGAACAAATTAGGTATGCACATGAACTTAATGTTGAATTTCAGTTCAACACCTAAATTCACCACTAAGAAAACTACTGTAGGTGCCTCTGGAAATTTTGAAAGTCAAAGGATTATATCTCTGGAACTATTTGCTAGCTGTCACTGTCAGAACAAAAAATGAACTTAATCGACATCTTCTCAAAACACACTGTACAAATATATGTCTATTTATCTTCAATATCACTATCCTGCTATGAGAAAATAAGCAAAAAATTATTGCAAATTCCCCAGTTCATAAGCTAATACTATAATCTGATATCACAACAGTGTTATCACAGGTGTGTCATATATTACATGACCTTTCAGGTCAGTTATGTGATAAATGAAGTGTTACCTCCAGGGAGCTGTGTAACAATATAGCCATAGAAGAAAGCTCCAAGAATCAGTCCTTCTTGCTGACGGGTCCACTGGAACTCAGGGCCAACCATCTGGGCAAAAATAATAGAATATTACTTTTCATCTGGGATAGACTGAGATAGACAGGCCTGACCTACAACTGGAAATGCATGCCCATCCTCTGCTTTAACATTTCCACTGCAGAAATCCATATTCAGAAGTACCAGTAAATGTTTTTAAATTTCTTGTTACAATGAGAAAACAGACATTTTTTTTATTTCAACCATCGGGTAAATAATAATAATAATTTTCAAATTTCAAATATCAACAGAATTTTTCAATGATCATGAAATCTGTTCTCAAAAATTGAAAGTTACATCAAAAACATTTTTTTGAAATTGCAATACTAAAAAGGAATTTCTTCCATTTAAGGATTGTAGTGAAACTTCACAGTCATTAAAAGTAGTAATTTTCTTATTTCACTATGCAACATACCTGCTTAGTTCCATTGATGTAATAAGTGTAATTAGTTGTCATGGCAACCAAAGCGACACTGAGATTTACACGTAGTGCGTACACGTTACCTGTACAAATGGACCAAATATCTCTTAAAATGAAAAAAATAAATTGCATTATCAAAACAAAGCATTAAATCTCAATTTGTAAGTTTGTTTCTCAAGATAAAAGAAAATAGAATTTAAAAATGTGTGGATATTGTACATTAACTGAATCTATCATGAATTTGTTTTTCACTTTATGGGCAATATGAAACTCATCGAAGACATTTTTTCACTTGAAATAAACACCATATATACCAGGTATATTGATTATTCCAATACATGCAGTTCAACACTGCCTGAACTCCATTGTTTATAATACTCTCTTTCTACTGTTGTTTTCTAAAAGAAATCCAACCACAAAATTTCATTAGGCAATAATTAAACAAGAGATCCCAGAGGGATCTTGGCGCCCACCATTTGAGGATCTGTTTTCAGTTCTTGAAGATTTTTGTTTGTTTGTTACAGGTGTTGTAAATGTTCATGAACTGGTCTTCATTGAATGTACTTAATGATGGCACAAGATATTTTTATTAAGCACCTATTAGCAAATATCATTTGAAAAAGATCCCAAAGTATTATTAGATAGCAGTCAGTTACAGGTGGATAATGGACAATATGCTTGTGCTGTATTACTGTCAACATCCAGGATGGCTGCCTGTGGGCCACCTTGATTTCAAATCAGTCCAAAAAAGGTACAATGCACAACTAGGGACCAAGGGAAAAATTTATGAAATATCAGAAGGATCCATCCTGGACTTCCTCAGATATAGCAGTAACAAGATTTTACTCTCAAAATCCAAGATGGCTGCCTGTCAGCCATCTTGATTTTGGATCAGTCCAAAAAGGTATAATGCACAACTTGGAACCAAAGGGAACCTGCATATGAAATTTGAGAAAGATCCATCCAGTACTTTCCAAGAAATAGCAGTAACAAACTTTTACATTCAAAATCCAAGATGGCCACCTGTCTGCCATCTTGAATTCGAATCAGTCCAAAAAAGGTACAATGCACAACTAGGGACCAAGGGGAACCTGCATATGAAATTTGAGGAAGATCCATCTAGTACTTTCACAGAAATAGCGGTAACAAACTTTTACATCCAAAATCCAAGATGGCCATCTGTCGGCCATCTTGAATGCGAATCAGTCCAAAAAAGGTACAATGCACAACTAGGGACCAAGGGGAACCTGCATATGAAATTTGAGAAAGAATCCAGTACTTTTCCAGAAATAGCGGTAACAAGAATTGTTTACGGACGGACCACGGACCACGGACCACGGACGCAGGGCGATTTGAATAACCCACCATCTATTTGAATAGATGGTGGGCTAAAAAGCCCACACCTGCTGGTGTTCAGTACAGTGACAAAAATTTCATTATAATATGCCCCATGACTAACTGCTGACTTTATGCAATTAAGTCCTAATATTACCTGAATTTACCATGTATGAGTATATTATTTTAATGACAAAAAAAAAACAAAATGACTTATTATGAAAAACTTACAAAACCCAAAAAATGCCATAATTGCAACAATGTATCTTTTTGGAAATTTTCGCAACGACCAAATTCTTTCACAGCCCTCATGACTTTCATCTGCTGGTCTGATTGGCTGCTTCTCATTGTACGCTTCATCCAATCCAGTGTATCTATTTAAATCAGTCATCCTGTATTGTTATCTATGATAATAAAATTCTGAAAAAAAATGAGAAAAAATTTTTTAACGTGATTATTTATATCACATGCACTTTTGAAAACAAAAATAAAAACAGACTTCTCATTCACTAAGGAATGAACATTTCTAGTATCCAGTGAAGAATCCTTTGAAATTTAAACTTAAAATGTTATATCAAACTAAGATCATCTGTTCTCCTAGCTGCTCAACAATCAGAATTATGTTGTTAGAAAATTTACATATACATGCTTGAACCAGCCAGCAAGTACTGGTTTAGAAACTAACAAATTACCATGCCCAGGACCCCCTCCCCTAACTGAATACATATTGCCTATATAGCTTTGTCAGTGTGTCAAATGGTTAAAACTTTCTGCAAAATTATATAAAGTTTGATAAATTTGGGGAAACTATCACATTTTTGTGAAATGTTCTTCAACAGCATGTTTTTGAACATAGTATTCTGTTACATAGGTTGGAGGTCCCTCGGAAAGTGATGCTGCCTCGATTTTGAAAGACTTAATTTGTATTTTATTAATGAGTGGGCCCTATATGATACCTAAAATTTGAAACTAATTTCATAGAAAGTTGAAATACTTTAAATTGTAATATGTAACTCGTTTTTCGTCATGTTCCAAGCTTCCAAATCACAACTTCAGAGGGAAATGAATCATCAAAATTCAAGACATAGACATTTTAAACAAAAGACGTTTAGGATAATGTGTGATTATCAATTAAATCAGACAAATTATAAAATTTTGTAGCTAACAGCCTTTTTCAATACCTTGTCTTTTTGTTTGTAATGTCTCTAGCGCTTTAGTGCAAGACTTAATTTGAAAATTATCAAATGAATTATCGGCGTTTGATAATGGGTAAAGCGGTGCAGGGAAGGGATTATGCCTACACGGTGTAACTCTGATGTAATTTTGTGTCAATGATAAGTTAAGTAGATCCGATTAGGCCACGGGCAAATGTTCAGATAGCCTGGGGGTTTACCTGTCGCAATGTCTGTAAATTACAGAAGTAGGACAGTAAAAAATCTTAACAGACATCTATTATCGGTTGTAGAGACGCACAAACGAATATTAACCTCGATTCAAATGTTTTCCGAGCAAAGATTCAATGTCGACCTGTGTGCACGATGCATCAGCAGCCGATTTACGGTATTTTCCTTCAAAAGCGCCGGCATATGGTCGACGAACACAAATTTATGATAGCCGCCATCATCTGTTTATTTACACTCAGCAATATCCCTACTGGTTTTGTAAACTAAACGCTGATTGGTCAGCAGATTTTCGTCTGATATTGAAAATAACACGGTTTTCTTATTTTTCGTCGATTTTTATATTATTTTTCAAAGTTTATAACAGCTTTTTATATTAATTGTATCAAATTACAACTCATACAATGTTTTGTAATCTAACCAAATTCTTATTTTATCATAAAATATTAATGCCATTTCCCATGGAATGAAACTGAAAGAACCAATCAAATCATCTGTCAGTATACCGCATAATGATATAGTGACGTCACTGTCAGTGTGTATTCAGAACCAGTGCCCGACATTAGAGTCGAAGAAGAAACATCTAACTTGGATTGCTAGGATTCCTCAAAATGGGACCTAAGAACGGCCCATTGGTGCTTATAGTTGTGTTAGCGACACTGAAGGTCAGTTTTGGGTACATTGAGGTAAAGATTTGTTTATTTTCTTTTGTTTTATTCGTTAGTTGAGTGTGGTGTGAGAATGGAACGATGTCAGATTTCACGATTCGCCACGACGACCGGCTGATGTAGAAGTGTTTTTTTTTGTAATTTTATTAAGCACATTGTATTTTTATGAACATGAAACGAATTCTAAGGAAACGTTATGTGAACAGAGTAAATAACATAATAATTATTTTCCGAAATGTCTGTCTCATCATCCATAAATGATGGGAGCTGATAGACCACACAGCATGACCTATATCCATTGATAAAAGACCTGTATTACAGTACTTATAGAAACAGAGTAGGATAAGGTGTCGGAAGTTCTCTGTCATTTAAATATCAAATTGGCGATGAAACAAAAAGGAAGTAACATGGTTACACATATGTTATTTTGGTATGCTTCGTAGAATATGTGACTAAGACACGTAATTAATTCTATAAATGTGTGACGTCATTCTGTTGGGAGGCCCAAAATTAAAATGACATCTCATAATGGTAGTAATTGACATTTTTTGTAATATCTTGCTTTATAAATTGCCAAGAAAATTGTCTCTTACTGTTAGCAATCAGGAGTGAATAGTTAACGACGTCTGTAATTTATAAGTATAATTATAACTGGTACAATAATATATAACTCAGAAATCAAAATATGTAAATTGTTTTTAGGAAAGAGCAGAAAATATATTTTTTACAGAAATTTTGTAATTTCCAATGAATTCATAAATAAATACATAGGAATTACGAGTGAACCAGGAAATGCTTTTCAAATGATTCACTGAATGTAATTGCTGTCATCAGGGTTATTACAACAGAACACTACAGCAAACCTAATATAGAATAGATTTCTTGATCCTAATGCACTACTGTCTGTTTCTCCTGCAGTAATCAAACCGCCTCGGGACTAGCTTCCGAATTTTGATCAATCGAGGGATAGGCATATTTCAGGGTATTTTGATAGTGTTTTTTTTTAATTTTACTGACCAGACATGGCTTATTGCCAGATAGAAATAATTTTGACTTTGTATCACTGTGTTCTCACTGTATGTTTAAACATATGGTTAATATGAAAATATTGTCAGCTGAACATTGACTTGAAAATTAACTATTATATGTTAAAATATAAGCTGGTAACAAAATGGATCGCCTGACTCCATTATATTACTTTAGATCTTTATCATTGCTGAGCTTTCTTTCTGCGCTTTATGTTGCTCTCTGCGTGCGCCTCCTCTTGTTGCCCGACCTCGTATGACATTGGCTGTTGTGAGGACATTCAACCTTGTAAAAACAAGATGATCAATCAATAACAGTGTTTCTGCCATCAACCAGCATTTAATGGAAACGGTAGTGATGGTTCATGTGGATATGAAACTCACCTTTCACCTCTAGACATTTAGGTTTGATTCCCCTATTGGGTTTTTTCACGGGTATTCAAGTTTCTGTCCATAGTAACACACTTTGCACACTTCAATTCAGACAGAAAATTTTTATTTCTGTTTTTTGTAAGTTGAAATACAATACAATTTTTCCATCTTTTCAAAATACTGAGTTATCTGCTCTTTTGGGTAGGTATTGATTTTATGTTATTAATATTTATGAGATAACAATCCATACCAGCTCACAAGAGCAGATAACTCTACATTATGAAAAGAGAGAATTGTTGTGAAATAATGTATAAATTAAGACTGATAAATTCTACAATTAGCTAGACAGCCAGATAAGTAGATGCACTCAGAACAGGACATTGAAATCCTGTTTGTCATTAATTCATGTTAACAGTAATGAATGACTTTGTTTATAATTAGCAGCTCAAGACACAAATTTTGAAGGGTCAGGGAAAACTTTGAAATATTTTTCATCTCTTAAATAAATACTGTTCTAGATTTATATACAGGTATATGGCCAAAGTATTCCTTACAAAATATTAGGTCATGATTACCTTATGTTTTTTTCTCTTTTATTTTGGTCTTTGCATCTGTATCCAGATAGATATATTAGAAAATACAGGTTTTAATTTTAGATACAAAGATCATTCCTACAAGCTTGACTTATTTTCATATTCTTTTCTTAATTTAATATGAATTTCAAATTAGAAGAAAATAATCAGACATTGCCTTATCTTTATATTAGAATATTGCAACTCTCTCTAAGATCAGTTATCATGATAAATTTAGTGCAATGAAGATAATGTATGATGACATAGCTGTCAACTTCTCAGCTTTATTGTCTATAATACACCTATATGTATTATAATGGATTATTTCAATTTCATATGGAAATCACTGTGCAGTATATCAGCTGTTCTTTATGAAATACACACTGTTCATATTGACAGAACGCCAAAACCTGGCAATAAGATTTCGTAACAATAAAAAGAAGGTTAGTCTTCACATAATGAACATGGTATCAACCAGTCGATATAACAAAGAAATGAAATGGATGTCTAGATTTAACAGAATCATGTATATATATAGATACCTGTACACAAGTATATTTAGGTGTGGCTAAGATGTGTCAAGTTCATTTTGTACATATTTCTGTATAAGAGCAGTAAACCCCCTGGCAATCACACCAGCCCATATAAAGGGCGGCTAGTCACTGTACACAAGAATGAGAGATGATGTAATTTGGTCAGGAAAGACTTTCTTCATTCATATTTAATGTACAATAGTGATGTAGTTTAGTCAAAGCTCTGTATTGATTTATCAAATGTATAACACTATTGCAGTCATTTCTTTAAGAAATACATTCTTAACTGAATATGCTTATACTAAACTATCAAAAACTTTAGTTTTAAAATTTCAAATGATCTATAAAACACACATAGATGTATAAGATCAATTAATACAAATTTTGAAACCTAAACAGGCTGCAATAAAATTGTGACATTTTACTCATGTGTTTTGTACAAGATGTTGTCACATCAATAATGACATCATTTTCTATTGAAATATACCTGAAAGCCTCCCAAGCAATGAAAGTACTAGTCAGATACAGCTGTTGGTATTGTTATTTATGTCAACAATAAAATTATGTACACATTTGATACAGGAATAATGGTAACTAATGTGCAATAAGCCAATTGCAAAGGCACTTAGGTTGACATATTAGCTTGACTAGATATGACTTTTAAGTTTGCGGATGTGGTTTAAAAGGTCACTGATATTTGCAGCATTTGTTGGTGAATATTGTCTTTACTGCAGTAAATATGGTTGGGCTTATTATCAGACATGTATGTTTCAACAGCTATAGGCTATAGCTGTAGACTTGTGACCCTTGTGGCCCTTGTATGACAGATAATAGGACCTTAGTCATACAGGAAGACTGTCATTAATTATTTTTCAACAGAATGAAAAATTGAAAAGTAATTAATTTGTACAATCAGCAGTTTTGTCAGTTTTTTCTTTTTTTTCCAAGCGAGTCTAAAACACCATTTTCAAAATAATGTTGAGTCCCATTTCTAAGAGCTAGAGGTTGTCATTACATCTAGATGAGTCCCACAGGAAAATCATAAGTCCAGAATTCAAATGTCTGAAGGCCCGAATATCTCTATATGGTACAGAATGAAATCAAGGACAGATAAAAAAATGTTTGAAGAAATTTCTGGAGCCTGTGATAAAGCAGCCTTTGTATGATAATTGACTGAGTCGGAAAAATCAATTTGTGTAATAGGTTGGGTCGGCTGTTCCCTACATATGTATCATGAATTTATTGAGCGAGTAAGAGATTCTGACTGGTAGCCTTTAGCTATAGGCCATAAAAAGTTATGATAACACTATTGGAAACTGTGTTGCAATTCCGACTGTTTCTGGAGACAATGTGGAGTTTTCCAGTATTGGACTTGGAAATGTCCGATCTACGATGGAGAAACTGCGGTGAATCATGTCAGAACACTGTATACAGGCAACCTTTATTGACTTTCTTCTTCTGTATATGACACATCAATCAGCATCTTTCTGGTTCCATAAATGATGTATTTATATGGCAATAAGTCCATGCTTGGAAAATAAGCCGACACACTAATATTGATGTAGAATATAATTACAAATAGCGCAATATTATTTATCCTGTAATAAGACCAGGCCCCGCTTGTATAAAACATCTCAACTTGAGATTTCCTCAAGTCGAGATTTTCCTCAGCTGATATCTCCTCAAAAACGGCTTGTATAAAATTTTCTCAAGGAACAGGAGGAAGAAGTTATCGGCTAGGATGTCCTGAAATTCCTTGAGGAATTTTCATACAAGATATTTTCAAGGAGATACTAGCTGAGGAAAATCTCGACTTGAGGAAATCTCAAGTTGAGATGTTTTATACAAGTGGGGCCAGATCTTTCAGCACCCCCACCCCCTAGGCCTACGCCCCTTTTTCTCTTTTATTAATTTATAAATCTGCTTTGTAAATTCACTAAAATAAAGCATTTTCTTATTCTTAGATAATTCCAACCTACCAATTCCCTGTGTCAAATCAAAACAAAATGTCTGAAAGGCTTTAGTAAACATGTTAATTTTTAGAGGATTCGAAATCATCCGACAACCTTTATTAATATTCATTCTGCAATTAACACGGTTAAAAATTTATCACTGACTTAATGTAAAGGAATGGGATTATCATAGGACAAAACTATGGCAGTATTTGTTTCTAAGATATTCTACCAAGCAACACTAGATAATATGTGGTGTGTTTCTTGTCTGGCCCTGTCAATGTTTCTCGATTTTATAGCAGTCTCTGCATTCATAAAATGAGAAAATCTGGATTGGTCTTGCTTCATTTTGGGAAAATGATACATTTTGGTTTAGTGAAACAGCATTTTTTTTAGGTCTAAAACAGATCAAACATAACCACTGCAAATGTGACAGTAGCATTTATTCAGCTTCTCAAATTAGCATCCTAACATTTATTCAGTTTCCTAATTAAAACAATTTTTTTTTCTATATAGAATTTTTTATTCCATTGTAAGTGATGATTTTGTGTACAATGGATTGTCCTTGCAGACACCGGAGCTGGTGTCTGATTTAAAGCTGTTAGATCTCTATAACAAAGATGTACAGCCATATACATCTGTAACCACCTCCAGCCTGTCTACCTACACATATAGGTAGGGCACAAAATACAGTTTATGCTTAAGTTGTTCAATTTCAAGAATGTGTAGGACTTTTGTATGTCGCCAACGTCTGAGGTTTGTGTAGTAATAGGGAGAGGATCCTTTACCTGTAGCGTTCTTGTCTTTTTACAAAGCCTTGTCAGCTTAACAGAATACAAATACTGTGATAGCAATATTTAAGGTACAATTATCAAAATAAATTAAAATTTGTTCATTATCATAATTCATATATCATAAAGTTTGAATGATACTAACTAAAAATTTCTAAAAGAAATTGAAATCAGAATTTTTAAGAAAAATGATAAACAGTAATTGAATTAAGCTTACTAGGAATGAGGGACATGATCCAAACATCACCTGCTTCCAGGTGGTGTGTAAGCTTGTTATTTACTGTAAATAACGTACAAGGGGACATTGTCCAGGTATACTGTTGATGATCATTACCAGGTAAGATTGACATAATGTAGATAGCTGACATACTTAAGATGTGTATATTGTATTTCAACATATAATACATATAATCAGTTAATATGTACTATGTGATGGCAACACTGAAGCAATTAATATAGACTATTATTTTCGTAATTTGTGGCGACAACAAACACACGAGCAATAAAAACCAATATAGAGTAACAGACGACTGTTAATTCATGGTCATTCATGTGTATAGTTGGTTAGTAAAATCACAAACATTGTATTTCCTTGTCCTGTAATAAGCCCACCCTTTGACTTAAGATAAGGGCTGATTATGTTTGTCCTGTGTTTATTGAAGATTAAATACGGTACAGGATACAGGAAGATGACTCAAATCCTGGGGGTTAAATATCAAAGGCAAAAACCACAAGTAAAAACATTTTCTGATTTCTTCATTAAGACCAAGAAAAAAAATTGAGTAACGTTTAAAAACAGTAGAATCAAAAAGGTATTTTTTTACCATTAGATATAAAACACTAGAATGATATATGGTATTTTGAACAAAAAAAATATTTCATAGTATTAAAATATAATTTAAAGAACACCTGGCACAGGTGCAAATTCACGTTTTCTCGTTAGGTAATTCTAGGTACAGTTTGAATGTGTTCTAGTTTTATGCTTTGAGTTGCTGAGTTGGTGTAACAGGTTAGATTTTGCTTTAGATAATGTTAATACCGTATTTCACTAGTCACATGTACATACTGTAAATAGTCCTAACCATATACATTTCTGTTCTCCCTTGTACTTTGAATATGATATTGTTTATATAACGAGAGTTATTGAAAACTGGGAAAACAGGTCTTGAATATTACCAATTTTAGAGGTTTGTAGTATAATTAAGGGATTAAATGAAATACTGAAATTATAAACTGTAATGCTTTTCATTGTCCTGAAACCAGCAACCAAGCAAGCACACGCATTTCATGCTGAAAGAATATGTTGTGCAAATCCTTCTTTGCTCTTACTTCCCAAGAACAGATGATTAAATATGTGCTGAATGGCAATCATAAGTTTTTAAATTCAAGAAAATCCTTTTTTGTAGTTCTTGATGAACTACTGGAAGAATCTCTGAACTTAAGCTAAAATGGCCACTGAAAGACTTATACATCCTGAAAATCCTATCATATTATAAATAAAGAAAACACAACCAGGATAAAACATCATGTGTCTAACTAGGACAAGACACCATGTGTCTAACTAGCACAAGATATCATTTGTCTAACTAGGACAAGACATCATGTGTCTAACTAGGACAAGACATCATGCATCTAACTAGGACAAGACATCATGCATCTAACTAGGACAAGACATCATGCATCTAACTAGGACAAGACATCATGTGTCTAACTAGGACAAGATATCATGCGTCTAACTAGGACAAGACATCATGTGTCTAACTAGGACAAGACATCATGTGTCTAACTAGCACAAAAACTACAATCCCCTAAGTTGGCAGGTATTTATGTTGTCTGTACAGAAAATCATGTCAACATTTAGCTTTAAGAGATCACCAGCATCCAGTGGTGTAAATACATGTTATAAGCTACGAGAGTTCACATACATCATTGAAGCAGAAACTGCTGGAATATTTGATTATTTAGCAGTCAGTTCTGCCTAACAGTAGAACCATACTGATGCTAAACAGCTCACTACCAACAAAATCGATACCACGACAGAGACGGAGGATAAGCAGAAAGGTCTAAACAGTATATTGATCTGGCCAATGTGTTTTAGCACGGTGGAAAATTTAAGGCTGCATTTCCTCCTCAGAAATGTTAGAGAAGGATTTTAATGTATTGTAACCTTATTGTGGGTAATTGGATTTCTAAGTAATGATATTTATTACTTTAGGTCTGCATGCTTTGTTTAAAATGCTATCAGACATGAGATATTGAATTTGTGTAGACCAATTTATTTTGTACTGTCTACTAAAATCAGTGTTTTTCTGGTGAATTAGATAGATGTTTTCACAGAACACTACCGAATGTATCAGCATCACATGTTTTTATACCACAAATTTATCTTCTGCAAAATATTCTAGATTTGTAGTTATGTAAAAAATGACCCACAAAGAAATAATTCATCAATTTCTTTAATTAACATACAAATTTTAAGTTAGTGTAGTGTGATATAAGTACATTATCACTTTTTGCCAAATTAGCATAATGACAAACTCATACATCCACTAAAATTAATCTGCATTCCTAGCACAATACTTTCAGTGCTGAAATAAGTTTACCACCAAAATGTATGCATTGACAGTATACCTTTTCATCCTAGATTCAAGGTGTTAAATCACCTTGTCATCCAATATCTGTATGAGCTGCCTGGTCTGTTTAACTGTCTTTAGAGTTATGGACAATTTTGTTTGTCAAATTTTTAATGATTTTAAGTACTTCTGAATAAATGTACTAAACCAGTTTTAATGTGTAAAGTGTACTAGCCTGTTTCATTTTGATTCAATTTTATCTTCCATTTCACTCTGTCAGCATGTGTTGTAGGCTAGTCAGCTGTTTTATAGATAATTGATTGAGTTCTTATAGACAAGGGTCATTCCCTGGGTCACTCACCCATACTGGTTGGGTTCTTTTAATTCTCATCAAAGATCATGTGCCATGCACCTTTAAGAATGAAAAGTGCAATTGACACAATCCCAAACCTCCTCTTACCCTCCCCCTTTCCCCTACCTGCCCCCAGCCTTGGGGATTCATTTTAGGGAATCAGCATCTCATCCATGACACTTGGATCAGGGGGCATAATTAGTTTGTCGGGGACGTAGGTTTCATTATATTAACTATTTCTCTTGTAACGGAAATGTACATCAGATATGGTTGAGAGAACCATTAGGTATCATGATTCGTAATAAAACTGTACTGTTTTAGTGTTACCAGGAAAATCAGGATCAATACCTGTTATAGGAAATTATTAGAAAAAAAATCTACCTATAAAAAGTAAGAAATTCTATAAATCATATATTAGCTGTTTATAGATTTAATTTACTTAGGATCTGTGACTTTTCATTTTGTCTAATTGGATATTAAATATAAATGTAGAAATGTTACAAACATATGAACATATTTTTAGATTGTCAATGTATATCCATAAAAAGTGTTGAATGGTCCTTGTGGGATCTCATCATTTTCTTGTAATCATATACCGGTATACAAGCCTCTATTGAAATAATACTTCATGGTGTTTCAGTATTACACAAGAACTGTTTTGTTCGTCCATATTGTTAATACTGTAATGTGACCAAGTAGGATATCATGTTGCTGTGTCCAGGTTATATTGGCATTTCAGTGTGATTAAACTATAAAAGCATCCATCAGTGACTCCATCTTCCATGAACATAGCCTTTACATGAGCCTGGCTATTGTGAGGGTGTTGAACCTTTAAAAACAACACGAAAATACCAACGTGTGAAAATAATCATAATTTGAACTTAGATCCAATAAAATGGAGGCAAAATGTAAACAAAAGTTAGATTTACACTCTTGAAGAAGTACAAAGAGAATATGCGTAGCTGTGGCAGTTGTACGGTAGATGTGTGTGTGAGATGGTATAATTAATCTGAGAGTGTTGAGCTGTAGCAGGTGTACGGTAAATGTGTGTGTGAGATGTTAAAATTAATCTGAGAGTGTTGAGCTGTAGCAGGCTACGGTAAATGTGTGTGTGAGATGTTATAATTAATCTGAGAGTGTTGAGCTGTAGCAGGTGTACGGTAAATGTGTGTTGATATATGATGTCTATAAACAATGTTTTTTTTTATTTTGTTTGTTATTTTATATTGTCTGTTGGTTTTATATACTGTGTCTTCATCAGAATAGCAAAAATCCATGATCATTGTTAAAAGACACATTTTTATTTCTGTTTTAAATTATTTTACTTCATTTTGAAAAAAAAGTGTAGAAGATTACAATGACAAAAGTGTATTATATGGCAGAGAAATCTTCTGTATATTCTACTTAATGAATCTTAATCTTTTAATAAGATAACTTATAGATGTGATAGAAACTTTTTATCTACCCTATTTATGTGACAGTAAACAGTATATGCGCAATGCTGGGCCCCCATATTAATTTCTGCTGACTGATCAGTCCCGTTTAACTCTGGTATTAATGAATGATATGTCAACGTTACATAATAAACCCATCTCTATCTGGAGTCGGAAGTAAATCGTAGTATTCTTTGTAGGACTAGTATGGTAAAATTTGTGTGAACAAGAAGACGTTGTCAATTTAAATATTGCCATTTGTTTCAGGCTCTAGCAGCCAATGTCGATGCCGTTTCTCAGACCACAAAGGAAAAGATGACCTACATGGTCGCTTATTCCTGTCTTCAAAAAGATGCCCCACTTATGTACAAACGTGCCGATCAGAAATGGGAGGCAGACGTCCGAACACGACCCTCAACTTGTCTCGATAACTTACGAAGCATCTTCGATTTCTGTAAAGAGGTAAGTCTGAGTCTTAGAAAGGAACAATGTACATGTTTATGTAAATTTATTAAATTTTCTAAAATTTGAAAAAAGGAAGAAAGTATTCTAGACATTATATGTATATAATTAATTGAACTTCAATGTGGATGGAAGGCATAAGAATCGATTTTCACAGAATTAAATTATAGCACTTTGGAGTGAAAATGATAAAGACTTCCACAGAATTAGGGAGGGTGGACAGGTCTTAAAGAAATTGAAATTTCAGTTTTGATGGTATATTAGGACATATATGTATGAATAAATATTGTAGAAGATTAAAGAATACTTAACTTTCCCTTCTACTCTTCTGGGGTCAAATTCCATGAGAGGGGAGGGAGGGGGGCTCCTGTCTGACTCTCCAAGTCCATTGGCTTTGTTTTCCTACAGTAAGATATCTGTCCGACATTCCACATTCTGCTATTCAGACAAACATAGGTTGTTAATATATTTGATATAACATGTTTTACAGTTGTTGTAAAATATTTTAAGATTTCAGTTTTATTATTATCATTATTATTATTACAAGTAACCGTGAGCTAATGAGGAATGTGCTTTCCACTGGTGTCCATGTATGTGTTACATCCCCGTAAACATTTTAAGTCGTAGGAATAAGTGTATAGGGTAAAATTTTTAGAGCACCTCAAGTCTCAAGTGGACCATCAGTATTGTGATCACCTTTTCCGTCTTCAACAGGCTATTGTATGTCATATTCAACTTTTTTCTCAAAAATTTTGATTAAAACCGACTTGCTCCCAAAATGCTATTTTCTCAAAAATTTTAATTAAAACCGACTTGCTCCCAAAATGCTATTTTCTCAAAAAATTTTATTACAACCGACTTGCTCTCAAAATGCTATTTCATTCTCCCACAATGTTTCAGTATGCTTCCTGCAGTAAATGTGATAGTTATTCATATTTAGTACCGATATCTGTGTCAATTACCTTAGTCTATGAATAGTAAGTAATAATAGGTGGGTAAACTAATATGTAATATAAGTCTTAAACATACATCATGTTGGGGCTGTGTAAACAGGACTAGGGTGACCAAGTAAGTGAAAGTTTGAGGCCAGGTTTCTTTTTATACCCACCATTTCAGAGATATGATACATACTGACCTAGAACTGTCATGTCAGGTACATATACTAGGGTAGTATTCATTGTAGTTAGATAGAACAGCCGTTCAAGTACCTTCCTACCCGAGTTATCGTCACGCTTATTTACCAGTGTGGCCCTATACACTGTGTGTCTAGGTCTGGCACTTGTATTGTATATATTTTATGAATGAATGAATAGATTAGACAAATCTCCGTCTTGGGGAGGTCAGTGATTTTATATTAATGACAAAGTGTGTCTCTGAATATGAACAATTATTGTGACAAGGAGAATATGATTATACAGAGGGAACTATGATTTAAATTGAAAATTCAATCTTTTCATTTAAAACAGTCAATTGTACACAGATCTTAACGAGGTTGTTATTCTGACAAGAATGTTTTGATATTTTTTTCAATATTTATCATTGTAAATGAAGATTTAGTAGTGTGACCCCAGTTTTGCAGTTGTCTCTTAACTTAAGAATATTTTCTAAATGATTTTGGTCTGTTGAAAAGCATCATTACAGAAGAACAAATATTAATAAGAGATGTTTCCATGAATTTTGTGTGTATTGCTTTAGTGTGGAAAAATAAAAAATTTATGTCAAAAATTTTTTTCAATTTAAGAAGTCTTCACAGATATATATATGTTAGGCTGATTATATCTATAATAGTTATGTATTGGGTCATATTGTCTAACCTTATCTATCATCAATTTTTACAGGTTTACAAGGATGCTGATGTGACCAACATTGTCCCTGTCGAGAATGTCGAAGTTACATGGCCAGACAAGTTTGGACATCTTCACACTGACCGCAACTTCCAGGTGTACAGCTGTCTCAGTAAGTATTTGAAACAAGATCATAATTAATTCTTAACAAAGTCATTGCTAGGTGTTTACAAGGTTATTGCAAGGACATTACAAAGTTATTACATGTAAACAGAATAGGTGACCAGATAATGTGTTAGAAGCTCATTACATGGTCAGTACAAGGTCATTGCAAGGTCATTACAATGTAAAATCAAGGTTGTCACAAATTCATGGAATATTATTCCAAGGTCATTGCTAGGTAATTACAGGGCAACAAAAGATTATTAAAAGGTTGTGCAAAGGTCATCCCAGATTAGTGCAAGGTCATTCAAGGTCATCACAATGTTATTGCAAGGTCAATGCATGCACAATGTCATTGCCATGTCAAGACAAGGTCATTGTAAGTGAAGTATACTTGGTAAAGACATCATATTTAGGCACGATTATTGGTTATTTACCGAGATATTCAGCACAAAAATGTTCCTAGCACAGTTACTAGTACGTCACGCCACTATTTTGCTACCTGGTGTTTTTTGCAGAGAATGATACTTCTTTATGTCCCAAGGTTAAATGTGTTCAAGTATAAAGTAACTAGACTCACCAGCAAACAACATCTGTGGAAAGTCCTGGGAAGACAGTTCATCTTTTGATTATTTTTTTTTCTAATTGTATCACATCACATCACATCACATTATTCATTCTTAATAGTCTGACATTCAGGATAAAAGTGGCCCGATTTCGTTTCAAAATGGCAAGGCTTTAACTTACCGTCAAAAAAACTGTATGACTTGTTGGTCTGGTTGTAAGATTTCAAAAGGAAACTGCTATCATGTAGTGTCTAGTGTTATGCATGACTGATGTTGCTGCATCAAGGAAATGATTGCCAGACCGAACTACCTAATGCTGTAGATGTTTGTCCTAATAATAGTAGCTGTATATACACTCGTGATGAATAAACGATGCATAGACAAACTCATATATATATGTAAAATATATGTATGTGTACTTGTTGAAGACATGAAAAAGAAAATTCAGGAAATTAAAAAAAGTTTATTACCATGCATTCATTTAGATATGGTAAAAAATCTAAATTCTGCAGGATTGGCTTCACATATTGAAATATTAGGTGATTCTAAAATGTTACAGGTCTACTCAAGGAAAAGCCATAGATTAGCAGAAATCTGTTAGGGTTTTATAGAGGACTATTAGATTTTGAAATATATATATATTCTTGGATGTTTTTGACAGAAGTTTTGTATTAATGATCAGTAATAGTTTTAAACTGTGTGAGAGTATTTTTATAGCGAGGGATTTCAATGGCTCGATCAGTTGGTAGTCTCATCTGGAGGGCTGTTGTAGTGGAGATCAAGCTTGTTAATTCAATTAATAAACAAAAATAAATAAATAAAACATAAATAAATAGATACATAAATAAATAGTCAGTAGACAAAATCAGACTGACCAAATATCAGGTGATCATGAATCCAGATATAAAATTTTGATTCCTCCCACAGAGGGTTTGTGAATTCCAGGAAGCTTCAAATACAGACAAACCTGTGATGTGTGTCTTTGATATGATTGTTAGTTTAGACGTCTAAATCTATTACATTATACAGAAAGGACTAAACCCACCCAATCCTCCTTTCAAAATAGCCCTGGCTGTTGTTTGGTGGGGGGGGGGGGGAAGCACACAATAAAAGTAAACACCAGTTCCATATCTAGTGACTATCACTTGGTATTATTTGTGATAAAAGATCTACTGTTCTCATTGGTCTAATGTACCAGAAAATTATGTAGAATTCCCATGAAGAAATACACATCCTGAAAGATCAGTTTTCTTTTCAAAAAATTTAATTGGGAATTTACATAAAACCAGGATATATTGTCAGTTTAATGAATTATTCTCTCAGTTTTACTTTTTTTCTAAAAATAGATTACATAGAAAGGGAAGTAAGAACAACTCATATTGATATCAGCTTCAGAGAAATGAGATTAAAACCTAGGTATCTACAGAACTTATAGGAGGTAGATACGGTGTCCGTATTTAGTAAAATAGGGAACTCTTTTCTTGATGTTTCCAAAGTTAGTCGATTTAATCGATTTGAAAATTACAAGGAAATTTTATAGGGAAGTAGTAGATATATATAAGCTTTGGATATATCTAGTGCAATCACACTGACATGAACCTGGTTCCCTATAATAGGGATAAAACATTCACCAAGACGTGAAATTGCTGAAAGGAACAGATGTTATAAAGTTACTTACGTGATGTCGATACACAAAAAAGCTGTGAATAGATCATAGGTTCTTCAAGAACTTTTTGAGTGAAGGAATCAATAGTGAATCATCCACAGCTGGTGTTGAGATACAATACTGTTAAAAAAACATAGAAAAATCAACAGAATCTACATTGTCTAAGGAAAATACAGGAAAAAAAACTTGTATACACTAATTTAATGATGAGATACAACGGACCGAATTTTATTTTGTTTTTACTTCTGTGTACAGCTGGAATCTTCACAAGTGAAGCCCTTCTGGTTCCCCAGGGATGTGAGTTCCAGCATCTTAAGTACAATGAGTGTGCATCATACACATTCTGGAAGGAGAAATCAAACTTGACCTGCCAAGACAAGAACATGTACATGGAGAACTTCTCCATGTTGCTTCCCTGTAATGTTGGTCTGTACTCTGGTGTGGAGTATGTCTGCTGCAAACCCCCCAACACAGGTATGTCACTGTTGTTGTCACTGTATTTGTGAAAATTATCTCCCTTGATTTTTTTTTCTAGGATGTAACATATTATCACAGATTCATGGATAAGAAGTGGGCTAATCTTTGTAATTCTATTAAACAGCTGTGTAACAGCTGTAGACAAAGATAGGCTTATAACAAGTCATGAGCTTATTGACAGATGGATACAGTTGATTATTTCCCTTAAATTATTTTATGTCATCCATAGACAGGATTTTTTCTTCCACCCTCAAAAAATTACCTTAAAAGAAAAGGTCTGGCAAAACAGAATGCTACCAAAAATGCAAGCTCTGATGTCATTGTGTCTGATTTTGTATTTTGTAAACAGGAGATTATCTGAGGTGTGTGTAGCATGTTAGTTCCGATAGAGCTTTGAAACATGACAGCGAATGATTGCAAAATGAGACAAAATTGTTGATATTTATCATGTCAACTGTTTGATCTGTTCTTGATTCTATCAGTGCAGCTTAGTGCTTGTTAATTGCTTGTGACCTTATCAATAACCAAGCCCATTCCTTGTAATAGGTCCGCCTACAGGTATAGATTTACAAAACACTTCCGTTTCGAATCCTGTTCTATTTGAAACACTGACGTATTTAGAACTATCATGATTTTAAGACACCTGTTGAAGAAAGTTTTCTATAACACTAGAAAGGTAAGTACACAAAAAAGGAAGCGTTTGGTAATGTGATAAATGTTTTAATATTAATTGTGAATACAGCTTTGATTTTTTGCAATTTGTTTAAAAAAAGGGGTTAAGTCTTTAATAAAATGTCACCTAGATGTCAAACCAAGGTAAAGGAATATTCCAATCAAGAATTTTCCATCATTTTACCAGATTTTTTTTTACTGATATTGACTTCAGCCATCTTATACCTCATGCCTAATTCATCAAGCATCTCTGCGATCTTGACAGCTGAGAAGTTGATCTTCCAAGCATTTCATTGATTAGAACTCTATGAAAGCCATGGAGATGGGTTTGGATTTGTTCTTACAAATTCCCTGATGTCCGAGTCTAGTTTCATTAGGCTAGTATATTTATCAGGAACTGTAGTGAGTGTAGCAAACATTTGTCTCCACTAGTTTTTCTTCACATATCAGCTATGTACTCAAAAGATTAAAAAGAGGAATTCACGCAGAAAACTCTCAGACAGGAATATACAATTTACTTGAGTGGTAGTCCAGACAATTACAGAAAAGAATATTTGAAATATAGCACACGATATAAATGAATTTACTAATCCTGAAATTCAGTTTAGAATGGTAAGCAGTTTTTACTTTCAGGTCACAATAATTTTTTATCAGATTAGCTTTAATATCATGCTGTAGTACTCCTTGTCCTTGGGAAAGACACTTAATCCCACTATCTTTGGATAGCATGTGATGGTCCTCCAGTGTGGTGTTCAGTGAGGTAGCCAACAGACAAAGAGACCCTACTTCAAAATGTCTCTGACTGTGGAGGTGTTGATCTGGCCAGCTATCAAACAAATAACATAAAAGCTTCCATATCAACTTAAACAGTTCTTCAATTATTTTTGACATCAGGTCCGGTTACGTTTTAAATCAACATACCATATATGATTATTCTACAATACGATGTCTGGTAATAAGCCCACCCCTATCTATTATGTTCATCAGAATTACAAGTCAATGTTTATCGGCCTGAAATAAGTCCAATTATATTTTTTACGATTATCCCCTGGGCTTATTTCAGGATAAATATGTCATTATTTTACCTGGTATATAGATAGTTCCTAATTTCCTCACATGATAAACATTAAAGCCTACTCATTAAATATTCCTTGTATCCTTTTCTGTTAGCCTTTAACATTTAATATTTTCTTCCTGTCAATTTAGAACTGCTCTCTGATTTTTCTGTATGATAAAGCTGAAAGTTTTTGTAACAAGAATGCAAGCAATTCCATTAAATGATTTTTTATGTTTGATGAAAGGTCTAAAATTACATCATATACATGTCACTTTCCATGTAGTAAAATTTTACAGCTAAGTTAACAAACAGTGAATTTCGATCGCCTACACAATGATAGGATGGGAACATCTTTAAAAGTCACTCAGGTGTGTAATATTAGCATTCGTTAAGCTTCACTGATTTTGTCTAAGTATAATGTATTCATTTTTTTTTTCTTTAGGGAAGTAAGTAATTTATTCCATAAGTGGACTTTTCTTGTTTTTGTGGCTGTTTGTATGAAATTTATTACAGAGATGAATAATTTCAGAGTATTGATGTTATATGTACCTGTCATTACATACAAGGACACTTTCTGTAAAAATCGTCTTCATATTACCTCATAAATTGTCAGACTTATTCTCATACATGTTTGCAAGATTCATATCGCTCTGCAGCAGAGCATTGTGAGTTGTACAGATAAAAAACAATCATTACGCTCACTTCATGAATTGTTCGTGTTGTTCACTTTTTGACTGACCTGCTTGAACGGTTGACAAGTGAGTCAACCATCAGTCTAGCATCAAGTTTTCAGTTTAAACAAAATTCTTTTCAATAACAAGGCCCAGAATACTGATATTATACTTAAGTATGTTGGGATAAATTTAAGTAAATGAACTTGACCTACTTTAAAGGTCACAGGAGTCAGATGCTCTAACATATTTTTTTCAATATCAAATAGGCCCTGAATTTGTGTTTCATTAATGTTCTACAGCATGCAACTGAGAACTAATATGAAAAAAGCCTATGTACAGTATATTATATGCAAGGTTTACCACACCATATGATATGAGAACATATTAACCTTTCCAGACAAACAAAAAGACTACAGTAGTTTCACAGTCTAGTGTTGGCAGGCTATATATAAATCCATTCATAGTTTGAAAATTTTTTATAAAAATTTGTATTTGCAGTTATATACTCAAACAACGGAAACATATATCAAAATTTGCTAATTCAGATGTATTATTTGTAAAGTTTCTAGAAAGCTTTGTGCTACATGTGATCAGACGAAAAAAAAAATGTTCAGTACAAAGGAATCTGGATTTGGCAGGCTTGCTATGTTGTGTTGGAATGGCTTTCAGACCTGATGCAATCCCAGACCTTCTGTATTGATTCGTAGAATACATCCGTGGAGTGTGTCATCATGTGAGGTGAATCACAGGGTTATATAATGCGTCAACATGTCGTTTTTATTTCAGATTGTTGGTTATGTATCATTTATGTGTACAGAAGATAATGATTTGGAACTCAGTATAATCTGGTCATAAAATTTTGTCCAGAGAATATTTTTGTTCAAGCTAGATGTTCAGGCAAACTCTCTATAGATGATATAAAAGGAGATCAATAATTTCATGATTTTTTTTTAATTATCTGAGTTTAAGGCTTTTTATCATGGATGGTCGTTATTGTCAGATCTGTTATAAACAAGACAGATTTATGTGAGATGGTGTGCTAGGAGGAATCTTATACAGTCCCTGTTCAACCTGATATTGTTTTATATCGCAAACACATGTCGTTATTTTACATTAGATCTGGAATATCACAAATTTGTCAATATGTACAGTATAATTTATTATTTTTTCTGTTAATCTCCATTAAGTTTGGATAGGCAAGCATAGGAAATTCATTGGTATACAAGAATCCAGTATAATGGTGTCAGTTAAGATCATTTGGAAGCTGGACTCATTCAGTGTTGGGCTCAGAGCTTTAGAAAAATCATCCTTTGACCTATTGTCAGGGAGTAGCCTCATCATAGGACAATGAAACTGAATTTTTCAGTAGTCCTGCTAAATTTCCGATGAGATGGGCTTATTACCAAACATGAGCATAATGTCTAGTAAAATTAACATATAGGTTCTAATCACTGTACTAATTAGTCATAATAGATCTGTAATAGCATATTGAAAAGAGTCTGTATTTAACATGTACATGTTAGAATGTGCGGCTGTAATGATTTAGTAAGTGTATTTGTTATTTGAAACACAAGGATTTACACAAAAGATACAAAACTGGCACAAGTGAATAACCTTGCAATTAGATATAGCCAAATATTGAATTTCACAGCGTAGGACACAATACGCAATAGGCAGCTACATGGTACAATATGCAAATATTGGTGTTCCACTAATTTAAATATAGTTATCTGATGTCACGGGAAACAGAAATGGAAAATCACCAGTATACAAACATTTTAATTGATCTGTCATCCATTTAGACTTATTCAACCGAGGATAGTTGAGGGCTTCAACAATGAATGCAATCGACCTGTCGCATGTTGTTGAATGCTGAAACCAATAGCTCAGGTTTGGTACATAAGGCATCAGGATCAATATATTGAACCACACTGTGGCTCTGACGGGAACTGAGTCACGAGACGTGCGGTAGTCGCTATGACTACACTTACATCATTTAAGCGTACGATGAACAAAAAACATGATGATGATGCTAGTACAGTATCTATTTATTAGACTTGGGGCGTGATGAATCGATCGCTGAACCTCTGGGACCTTGGATGACATCCCTAGATGTTGCCTTCATCTTTCTGAATTGACAAATTATACGCCAGTATAAGGAAAATTCGACCGAAGAAACCAATAATTCTAAGTTGTTTCCCATCAAACTGTCAGTGTTGGTAGAGTCTGTCACAGCTACAGGGGAATGAGATTCAGGTTTAGAAAGAGACATGGGATTCTATTTGCATTGGGAAATGTAAAATAGTCACTGTTTGTTTAATTTTTCCTAATATTAGAGCTCTCCATCCTCCATTAAATTGGTGGAGGAGTTGGAGGCTGTAAAAAAGGGTAACCTGTGTCTGTCCTTTCTTTATTCTTTCAAACAAAACTTTTCATCAATTATAATTTTGACTACAACATGATCACCTCAGATGAGTAATTGCTATCAAGTTCTGAGGTCAAGGTCACATTCACTATCTGTAGAAATTTTTCAAACAATGACACTGATTTGCATGGAGCTAGGAAATTCAGTAAATTTGATGATAATTTTTTGT